CAGGGTGACTCCGGGGGCCCGCTGGTGTGCGGGGGGTACCTGCAGGGCGTGGTCTCCTGGGGCCTGGCCGTGTGTGGTCAGCGTGGTCAGCCGGGCGTCTACAGCAACGTCTGCCGGGCCCGCGCCTGGATCCGCCGCGTCACCGGGGAGTGACCGCGAGTGACCACGAGTGACCGCGAGTGACCAGTGACCAGCAGTGACCAGGAGTGACCACCATGGACCAGGAGTGACCACGAGTGACCAGTGACCAACAGTGACCAGGAGTGACCAACAGTGACCAGTGACCAACAGTGACCAGCAGTGACCAACAGCGACCAGTGACCAACAGCGACCAGTGACCAACAGTGACCAGTGACCAACAGTGACCAGCAGTGACCAGGAGTGACCACCATGGACCAGGAGTGACCAACAGCAACCAACAGTGACCAGGAGTGACCAGTGACCAACAGTGACCAGCAGTGACCAACAACCCATGACCAACAGCCACCAACAGTGACCAGGAGTGACCACGAGTCACCACGAGTGACCAGGAGTGACCAGGAGTGACCACCATGGACCAGGAGTGACCAACAGTGACCAGTGACCAACAGTGACCAGCAGTGATCAGCAACCAACAGTGACCAGGAGTGACCAACAGCCACCAACAGTGACCAGCAGTGACCAGCAACCAACAGTGACCAGGAGTGACCAACAGCCACCAACAGTGACCAACAACCCATGATCAACAGTGACCACCATGGACCAACAGTGACCACGAGTGACCAGGAGTGACCAGGAGTGACCAGCAACCAACAGTGACCAGGAGTGACCAACAGTGACCAACAGTGACCAACAACCCATGATCAACAGTGACCACCATGGACCAGCAGTGACCACGAGTGACCAACAGTGACCCAAATGACCAGGAATGACCAGCAGTGACCACAAGTGACCAGCAGTGACCAGTGGCCACCAGTGACCAGTGACCAGTGACCAGTGGCCACCAGTGACCACTGACCAGTGACCAGCACTGACCACTGACCAGTGACCAGTGACCACTGACCAGTGGCCACCAGTGACCACTGACCAGTGACCAGTGACCACTGACCAGTGACCACTGACCGGTGACCAGTGACCAGTGACCAGTGACCACTGACCAGTGACCAGTGACCACCAGTGACCACTGACCACTGACCGGTGACCACTGACCGGTGGCCACCAGTGGCCAGCACTGACCGGGGATTTGGGGGAGAAATAAAGAAAAATGGAAAAAACCTGCGAGGTGTGCAGGGACTGGGAGGGACTGGGAGGGAACTGGGATGGACTGGGAGGGACTGGGAGGGAACTGGGGGGGACTGGGAGGGAACTGGGA